GTTTTGTGTCCATGCAAAACAGGCAACTTGGAAAAGATCCTATTTAAATTGTGTCTTTAAGACACTTCGCATAAAATTGTTGAATGGTTGCTTGATAGTTTCACAGCTTGCCATTTTAATGTTGGCCCTGTTTCAGCCCACGTAAAATAATAAAACGACTCCTGTGGTCGTTTTCTTCTCCAGATCTTGCTGTTCCCTGTCCAGGAGCCATCACAGTCAGGACGATTCACAGTGTCACTGAGTGGTGAGCTGACCATCAATGATGTCCAAGTTGAAGACTCTGGCTATTACATCTGCCAGGCCATCAGCGTGGCTGGAAGCATCCTGACCAAAGCCCTGCTCGAGGTAGAAAGTGGTGAGTATAGAGATATGAGATCATAGCTCACAGTATAAACAAATTAAACTTAATGGTGATAACATTAAAACGACAGCTAAATTATATATGGAGAAAACTAGACTATCTCATTCCTTTCATATTGATTCAGTCTCCATTTTCTGTTCAAAATCAGTGTTTTTGTTGGCTTCGGGCATTTATACATAGACTCAAGATCTAAGTTCAGTTAAAATGACATCTTGACATGATAACAATCACTGTCCTACAAAGTAATATAATTAGAAAACCTATATGCTTTCCAAGAATACTTTAAGAACTCTGAGGGGAAAAAAGTGCTGAAGTTAACAATGTGTCATAGTTGACGTTGTCTTGTTACATTGTTTTCAGATTCCGATTTGATTAATCCTTCTTCACGACCATGCACCACATGTGCACCAGTAGATAAACAAAAAAGCTGTCATCCATCTTAAATTAAACATCCTTTTTTCCCAAATAAACAAACAGCAGGAGGCCTATCTGATGTAATCGAAAGGGACATATGATGATAGTTCTATGCAAATAACCTTGCTGCAACATATGCTCTCCTCGCTGCATCCTTTCCAGTGTGGCAGTAAACAGGGATTTTGTTCAGCTCCATCTAGACTAACTCCTGTGTTGGGTGTGTTCACATTCTCAGTTTAGCTTCAGTTAGCTGATGATATCAGAGCTTTCGATGGCTCAGAATACAAATGAGGGTATACAACGTGACTGTGGGCCAGTGGTAAATAGCAAGGTTCTATTTTGGGGTATCATGTTGTGGGTTTGTGTTCAACTTGTTCCACTTCTATTTATAAATGTGCAGGGATTTACTTGGCTTATCTAAACTGATCATAACTCAGTCACTAGTTGGCAACACGTGTGCCATTCTGTTTACATTTGAGCTTGAGCCTACAGCCGTGCAGCTGTGGAGCACACCCATATATGACTATGACTTTCTCTGAGATCACCGTCTATGGCTGCAACACAGATGTAATGAGGCAGTGTGATAATTTGCAGGTGACAGATACACATGCAAACTCCAAAGGCTGACTGAATATTTATATATATATATATATATATGTATATATATATATATTTGTTAAGGTCAGATGCCAAGGACAAAATTCACAAAGGAAACCAAACAAGTCCAGACGCCCCAAGAATAACTGAGAAAGCATGAGAGAGATTATGCAAAATGAGACAGGACTATTTATACGCACACTGAGGCCAGTCAGGGGGAGTGGACGCAGCTGGGGAAAACATAACATGAGTGTAGTCTGGATAACAATAGTAGAAGCACAGGAACACAAACGGAAATGAAAATTTAATTCTGCAAGCACCGTTGTCAACTTGTCAAACTAAAATTTAACAACAACTAAAGGCTCCAAATACTAAGATCCGAATATGATAAACAAAAATTCTAAAGAGATACAAGAACCTAAACGTTAATAATAAATTCCATAAATACTCAACTGGAAGTGAAAGAAGGAATCGCTCAGCCTGATATAATTATGATGATAATCATTACAAACCACAGTCCAAAACAAACCCCTCAAATCAATGGAAAATTAAACTCAAACTATTTATAAAAATGTGAGCTCATTTTTATCTCCTCTTCCTATAAGCTTCTTCCCCTTCACCACACCTTTGACGATAAAACCTTCTGTTAGCTCTCATTTTGAGACAATGAATCAGTGAAGCTGTTCAGCCCACGTCTTCATTTCAAAGAGTCAAAAGGGTGTGAGAATCAATTTGCCTGCATGCATAGCCACACATCCACATTCCCAAAAGTGGCCTTGTAGATGAGGGAGATTTGAGTCTAATAATCTAATCTAACCTAATCTAATGACTTTTTAGCTTTCATTGCTGGATGAGATGGAGATATAAAGTACATGCTTGTCAGTATTTTGTCTTTAACAAACCAACTCATGAAATATTTAACAGATAAATTATGCAATTAAATATTCTTTAAATAATATCTATACTTTAACTGGTTTAAAGTTATTGAAAATATCTTACGTTGCATGGTTACCTGAAGACATTTAAAATCCAATATAAAAATTCATTCAGCCACTACTCGGTGCAATGCAGCGGTCCATGACTGACAGGAGGTCACTCTAGCCACACATTCCTGTGCCATTGATTTGCATGTTGAAGTGGAGCAGCAGCAGAGAAAAGTAACCTGAGAGCCTTTGGCAGTAAATGTTCTCTTATAGTGATACTTTACATTCCACATGAGAGAAAATGTGGTTTCATGGGTCAGTATGAACATCTGTAACCCCGAGATTACACACGCTTGACTTTAGTGTGTTTTTCTCTGTGACTTTGGTTTCATTATAACTGCTTTCAGAAACCAAAATAGACCTCACTTAGAGGGAAATATCACCTACAGCTGGCACTGTAATATAAACAAAGACAAACCCTGTTGATGAGGCATTTTCTTCTGGTCGAAGGTCACCTTTAAATGACAATATTTGATGTTACATTTATTTTGAAAGAATTCATATCAAATAAGAGACAACATGCATTGTCCATTATTGAGAATCATAATTCTGTGTTAGCCTGTGACAATGTCCTGCATATTCACTATTGCAAACTTTTTCTGTTTTCAAAAAGCTTATCAGGTTATCAGATCAGAGAAATCATGTTGGCATAAGGTGTCATAGTTTGCACTGGCAGACTGTGTGGAGAGAGGAGGAGGACCTAAATGCAGACATTTGGAGCAGATCTATAATTTAACAAAGGGCGATCCGTTCATTTGTGGCTGGGAAAAAGGTACAAAACAAAAGGCAGATTAACACAAACAACAAAGGCAAAACTAATTAGAGCTAAACTGTGAGAAACTAAATGCTAAACACAAGAGAACAAGAACATAAAACCCTGAACAGGATGAAAACATGGAAACATGGAGGCATGGAAACATGACATGAACTCAACAGTCAAATGCACACAGGAGGTGATCAGGGGAAGTGGAAACACATGGGGAAACAGCTGATTAGAATAAATATAATGACACTACAGGGGAAGTGAAACCAGACACAATGAACATGGAACACCAGCCATCTTCAGAATAAAACAGGAAGCATAATGAGATGCTGACGTGCCATTACGAGCTTGACAACATAGGACACGCAGACATGAAACACATGAAGGGCGAGGGAGACTTAAACACAGGGGTGAAGACACAAGGGGAATCTAATAAACAATGAAGTATGGCAGGGCAACGTCGAGCAAAATAGAAATGAACTTAGATAAGCTGATGAACATCAAAATAGAATAAAACTCAAAGTGCTGGGTCAAATGACCCAGGATCGGAACACACAGACTCTGAATAGAGCCAGGCTGAAACCAGGAACTCTCATGTTGTCAGGTGATTGTGCAAACAACTGCTTCACCATTCTCACAGTGGATTAATTGCCTCTTGGGGATAAATAAAGTCTTTCTGATTCTTTCTGATGAAAAACCCCATATAATGTCACATCAGATTACTTGCAAAAATTTTAAGCAAAAAATTTAAGCTATCTAAAGCAAAATTAGATCAAATTTTTATTTTTAATGTAATGGCATCTTTGGAAATTTCAATAGTTGTGTTTGTTTGTCTTGCTTAGAAGATTTATACCAATCTCTTGTGTCAATGGTGATGATGATGAAGCCAATGAAAAGTGTGGATTCACCTTAGTTTACTACTAAACTGCAGTACTGTGTGTGGTTCTGGAAACGTTTTCTTGTCGAATTGCCACAAATCTAACAAAGACTCTAGACCCAAAGCTCAACATTTACTAATAATGTCGGTCATAGTAACCTTTTGACAAGTAAATAATAATAATACTGTTTGAAATCTCTGTAATATTTGTTGTTTGTTGATTTGGTGTGTTGTTGGACGAGTCTGGCAACGCATCAAAATTATTTGGACATCTGAGAATAGTAATTTTTACTTTTTGAAAGGATCCGTCACAGATCCTCTACACGTAAAAGTATAAAGAGCTTGCAACACCAGTAATTATAGTAGTTTTATTGAACACTGAAACAAACTTGTATGTCCGTCTCATTGTCTTAGACATGACCATCTGTAGATTTCTACTTTCTGCAGAACACAGAGACAGACAATGATAGATCACAAAGATCCTTTAAATAATGACAATAAACTTTCTGCTGCTTTCCTGATGGTAGGCAGTGGGACAGTTTGTGAAGTTTGTTTTCTGAAGTTTCAACTGCTATAATATTGTGTTTTTTGGTGCAAGAAGTGAAGCTAGGTGAATAAATGAATAAACTGGATTGATAGACTGTTGGCCTGATGAAATACCCACTAATTATTGGTTATATTAAGTAGTAAAAACCAGGGGAAATTGTGAAATTGAAGGCACCAATACCACAAACATGGTCAAGAGGTTAAGTTCCAGCTGGCTGTATAAGCTTTCACCTGTCAGTCAAGCAACTGTGTCTGCAATTTGAAATCAAGTGTTTAACTTTTAAAAAATCCCTCTGAAATTATTTCTACAGACCTATAAAAATACTTTTTCTTCTGTTAAATTGAGCATTTTACCCAGGGAGCAAAATCTTAGGTGTCATTACCAGTGTTGGGAAGGTTACTTTTAAAATGTATTCCATTACAGATTACAGAATACATGCCCCAAAATGTATTCTGTAACGTATTCCGTTACGTTACTCAATGAGAGTAACGTATTCTGAATACTTTGGATTACTTAATATATTATCATGCTGTTCACAACTACGTGAATGTACTATTGCTGTGATTTATTACTGTTACTGAAGGTCCGCGGCTCCGAACCGTAGTAAAGGGACCTCTGGCTAATACGGTGGGTTCGTGTTTGGCTCATAGCTGAAAACTAGCTTTACTTTGTTGTCTGGGTCAACTTTGCTTGCCAGAGACAGAGAGAGGCGCTGAAAGGCTGCTCCAAGGAACTTATTGTTTCAGAGGAAAACACGAACACGGTGTACAGTCGAGTCTTAATAGCTTACTTACAACTGGGCTCGTCAGGCGCTCTTCTTGGCTGCAGTGGTTATTATTATATTTACATGCTTCCAGCTCCCGTTTTTGCTCGATGACAGCTCGTACTTTTCCTTTTTCTCCCTCCCTCGCTCACAGACACATAACGTGTATGGCAGTCCATTCTCCCTGCAGCACGGACTACACTGCCTATGATGCTACATTCTTTAGAGCTATACCTGTAGCATTCTGCCTATTAGCTTAGCACAACAACAACAACAAAAAGGCCTCTCTCACCCAGGAAACACGCAGAGAGAGAGCGTCACCCTGTAACCATGGCAACCGTAACGCTGCCACCTGGAACAACAGAACGTAGCTGTAAAACAAAACCCAAACAGTCCTGACCCGCCACAATATGAAACAGGAAAGTACCGCCGTGTAATCCATTTATTTCAACAAAGTAACTGTATTCTAAATACCACCTTTTTAAACGGTAACTGTAACGGAATACAGTTACTCATATTTTGTATTTTAAATACGTAACGGCGGTACATGTATTCCGTTACTCCCCAACACTGGTCATTACATATAAAATGATTTAGATGTTTGCGTCCTTTCGAATACTTTCTAGGGTTTTGATCATTTGCATTTATGCTAGATAAAGTGTAGTGGTGCAAACGCTTCAGTACAGTGAAGCAATCACCTTTGGTTCAAATCCCATCCTCATGTTTCTACAGCACCTTCAGACCGGGTCCCTCCCATCATCCGCCAAGGACCAGCCAATCACACATTATCTCCTGGATCCATGGCTCAGTTACACTGTCACATCATGGGCAACCCCATGCCCAGCATACAATGGGAAAAAGATGGCCAAAGGATCCTGGGAAATGATGGTCGAATCAGCTTGATGGAAAATGGAACTTTTCAGATCACCAACCTCCAGGTACTGGAATAAGACTCATACTCTTACATTCATTTGCTGTTTAATAACAATGCAAATATAGTGCATTTCATTTTTTTTCCAATCACATGTTAACGAAGCCTTTTGCTTTTTAAACTTGCGGCTTTTCTATGATGACATTCAGCAGTGTGTATTTTATAGTCCCTCTAATCCCACCACACTCATTAAAATGTATCCACTGTCTGCATGTATCAGTATTAGCACATCAAACATGATGTAGTTTACAGAAGATAAACCTAATCCAAGAGCTAAAACAACAGCTTTAATTCCAGGAAAGTATGAAGCATTTAAACAGAGGACAATTTTACGGTTGACTCAGACGATGAGTTTTTATGAGCGGAGGAGAGGTGGGGAACATTGAGGTGTGATCAACATGACAATGAGCGTGTGAGGCCATTAGCGGTCGTTAGCGCCGTCTTACTCCATGCTAATGAAATCTATTCTGCCCAGAATTCCCTCCTGGGTACGAAGCAGCACCTGAGGTCACCGCAGCCTCGAAGAGACTCGGGAAGGCGTGCGCATTAATTGATTGTGGGTTCTCAATGATTAACGATCGCTGAGACTTGTAATTAAATCCTCAATGCATCAGTACAAGTGAGGACTGGATGAATAAAAGAGAGGGCTAGAAACTGAGAAACAAGGGTGAGGGAGAGGATAGAAGCAGAAATAGCTGAGACTCAGAGGCCTAAAGTACATTTTAAGATGCATTTGTGTCATGGTGGAATAAAAGGCAATGTCTTGACAGCTGAGAGCACCATCTTGGAAGTGCTCAGCCTTTGGAACTCATTTGAAGCTGTCAGACAGCATGTTGAAGTTCTCATCAGACTTCAATTCATTTTGATCTGGAACATCAAAACCAATGGTATTTATGGCCTAAGACTGCGGGAACAAGATCACAGAATTACACATAAAAATTATTCATTTTGAAATGTTGTTCCATACACTTAAGAAGAGGCCTTGTCAGTGATGTCATGCATTTTTTCGTGGAGTCCATCACTAACAAGGAATCAAGACCCAGAGTCATGTCAAAATCCATCGTCTGTGTTGCTGTACAGGCAAGTGGTTTGAGCTGTAATGATGGTAGAAAAAATCCCAAAATACAGTCATCCAAGCAGCTCTCCTGCTTTGAACTAACATCCTATCATTTAGTACACAGGCTTGTCATCTTATAATATTAATTTGTAGAGAATTTACCTGTAGAGTCGATAAAGTGCATTGAAAAGAAAGTTGTTTCATTTTGATTATGTTAGCATGACAGCATGTGAATATTTAACCTAGCTGTCACTAAACAGGATGCAGATCTGATATATAATATGTTTTATAGGTCTTTGGTAACGAACAGCACAAATTCTATTCAAAGCAAAAAATAAAGAAATGCCAGGTAATATTCAGAGTATGTTTTTTTTGAAAGAAGGAATTATAATTTAAGGGGTTTTTGTAACTTCAAGACAATGAAGGTACGTACCACAAGAAAAAGCTTTTGTGTTTCTGTTCATGGAGTGAAACTATGGAACAGTCTGAATATGGAATTAAAGCAATGTCCAAACATAAAACTGTTCAAAAAGAGTTATAAAAATATGATCTTCTCGAACTATAAAGAAAAGGAAAATATTTAAATTAAGTAAATGTCTCTATTTAAAAAAAAAAAAAAAACCTCATGATGTGATATTATAGTATATAGTATATCAGAAATCTGTTCACTGTTTTTATTACAAATTATATCAGTAAGGAAGCTGACTAAATATTAACTGATAATTTATGGCAAAGGGGTGGGATTAAATAAGTGTTTACTTCTTCCCACTCCCTTTCAACATGTAAATTAATAATTTTTTTTGTATGTAATTTGTACAGTATTTTTTTTCTTTCTTATTTTCTTTTCTAAATGTACTTGTATATTGTTCACCTGTTGAAATAAATTACCAATCAATCAATCAATCAAACTAAAGGGCTGGGTAAATGTTTAACCCAGTAATGGTTAAGTAATCCAGGATTTTTGCTTATGAAAGTAGATATCTTGAAATTTCGGCAACAAATACAAAGACAAAATAATTATTTTGACATTGAAGTTTGGATTTAAAAAAAAAAAACACGTTTTGTATTGGACACTAAAATTTTAGTAGCAGATCATTCAGGTCACATACGTTGTGAGATGGGATTCAGTAGGTGCCCACCCACACCCACACTGGAACCACCGACAAGAGTTTTTGACGTGCTTTGAGCCATACTCCCTGTCAGTGTCTCAGAAAAGCCCAATAACTTTTCATTCTGTTCTATTTACATGCTGCCTAATAATGTGTTTAAAAGATGCCATTGTGACAGGAAGTAATGCTATTTGTTACATCATAGCTTCAATGCTACATTGATAATCCATCAGCTATAAAGATATTTCATTCATTGCCACAAATGTCAACACATTTTATCAACATAATCCAGTTCCATTAAATGTCCCATAAATGAAATGCAGTCGTTTTGAAAGGAACTGTTACTGATGACGACAATGATGATGATGATGATTATGAAAAACAGAACAGGGGACATATCAGCTCTGGGTGCTGCAGCACCTGCCACTATATATCTCAGGGGACTATAAGTCTTCTCATGTAGGCTAACCAAGCGACACACACTGTGGTTAAACATCCATTTGACCCATGGCATAGGACTATAAGAGATTCAATTCAAATAAAGTCTTTTAGATAATCTCCAAAGTTTGATTCTCTTCATCTGGACGCAGCGTTTTCAGTGGGAGAAACGTTTCGTCACTCATCCAAGTGACTTCTTCAGTCTCAGCTAACTGCAGGTTTCCCCAACCTTATAAACAGTACATTTGCATAATGACTGAAACTAGCCCACTGAAGGAACAATGGGCTGGGAGGTCATTTCCTTCATCATTAATATGCAAATTCTCATGACCATAGAAGTCAACTGGATGAGTGAGAAAACGTTTGTCCCACTGAAAACGTTACGTCCAGATGAAGAGAATCAAACTTTGGGGATTTACTTACCTGGATGAATGAGCATGCATCAAGATGTTTTAGATAATGGGACTAAACTGCTTTGCTGTTGGTGATATTGTTTATTATACAAGGATTGGCTGTGGACAATGTGTCAAAGCAATGAAAAGAAGTTGCTAAGAAACAGATTTTCTTTTTCTTAATAATATATATTAAAATAAGTAAAGGCAAATGTTTACAATGCTTTATCAGTGATTAATTTTTTTTTTGTTGCCATCTACACTGACAATTGTTAAACCTGGGGTAGTTTAAAAGATTCATAATGCTCATTTTAAGCAAGCTCTTCTATGAATTGGCTCTAAAGTCTAAACATGTTAAATACCAAAATAAGCATAACCTTTAAAATGGACAAACAATGAAATCAGACATTTAACTCAGTATAAATAAGTCAATTTCATCTGTGCCCCTGGAGTAGGACAGATGGTCTGTTTGTTCCTTGTACCCTGGCAATGAGGAGATGCCATTATCCTGGGATCTCTGCCAGACACACTCTATCGTTGTCCGTCACTTTGGTGCCAAGACTCCCAGGCCAGACGGGACGTGTATGTGTGTGTGTGTGGCGCTGCTAAATCGTAGCAGGCCGTGGGGTACGTTATAGGGGCTACTAATGTTAGGTAAATAAGGAAGGGAAACAGGTGAAGGCCAACAAAGCCTGGGGAGTGTGAGAAGGACTACATGGACACAGCTAAACAGATTTCTGGGAGTAATCAGATTAAAGCAGGAAATCAAATTCCTATGTTGACTTTAAATCCCGGCATACACACGTTATAGTTGATAATCAGATTTTCCTTCTGCACACACCCAAAAATAGGCTCTGACATCATTATCACCCTTCTGGCTGCTGATGTGCAGGATGTTCATGCTGGTGCTTTTGGGATGGGGTGCAGGTGGAGGGTAAATGAAAAAGGCACCAATGTTCACATTGCTCTGTAGGACTGCCAGATTATTTCTGCAAATTGTATTAAAAAATATCTCAAAGATCAAATATGTGCTATTCAAAGCATAAAAAATAAACATTGACATGTGTCTTCTTTAGGATTGGCGCTCCTCCCTTCTGCTCTCCTCTTGCCTCATACATTTTTTAGAAATGTGTTTTGCGCGCTTGCCCAAAGCTGCCAGCCTTGATTAATAGTCAGGTGTCCCAGCTATTTACCCCACCCACCCTCTGTGCGGAGTCCCTATCCACAGATCAAATGCTACCATCTGGGGGCCCCCTTTTTCCCCTCAGACAGACGCACAAGCCAGCCTACAGGTCAACTCAAGGTCAGGGCCTCTAGAAAGAGGAGAGATGAGTCACCCTGAGCAGGAGGGGAGAGGGACTGAGCGTGTGCACAGTGATCAGCGAGGCATTAGGTGTGAGAGGTTCTGCTGTCCACATCTTCTGCATAATGTGAAAGGTTTTCACTGCAAGTAAAATGGGCTGATGTGGCAGAATAAGTGAGTAAGGGAAGGCTGATTGTGTTTGCAGTGGATTTATCAATTGCCATGTAAATTGATGAACTACTGAAACATCTCACAGCAAGCAGCTGAAAAACTAACTGCAACCACACACACACACACACACACACACACACACACACACAGAGCTGGAAATAATTATGTATAGAGTCAGGAGGCCTCGTAGGCGTGACTTATATTAACCACAGTCTTTTGTCTTCATCATTTATTGGAAACTGAGCTGTGACACATGGAGTTTTAAATCTGTGTTAATGCAAATAGTTTGTTTGACACATTTTCTCACATAAAAGCACATATTACCTCTTTCCCATCAATACAGTAACAATCGCCAAGGAGTTCAAGGGAGCAGAGGGCAGTTGCCTTCTCTCACCCCAACCAGTCGCAGCAGATGGCCGCCCCTCCCTGAGCCTGGTTCTGCCGGAGGTTTCTTCCTGTTAAAAGGGAGTTTTTCCTTCCCACTGTCGCCAAAGTGCTTGCTCATAGGCGGTCATATGATTGTTGGGTTTTTCTCTGTATCTATGAAGCGCCTTGAGGCGACTTTTGTTGTGATTTGGCGCTATATAAATAAAATTGAATTGAATTGAATTGAATTGAGGTGCAGCCCAAGAAGCCCTGACATTATAAGCACTCTTTCTTCACCAATAGGAGCGCTAACATGACCTAATAGCCAGCTGGAATTTGGCACAGTAACAACTACAACAACATCAACAAGACAAAGGTGTCATGTCATTTTTGGAGCTGTGTGTTTGCTCTGTGTCGTAGGTTTTATGATGAAAACAGAGTCGGAGAAACATGCTTTTATGCTTTTTTTTTTTATATAGGTTTAATAGTTGCTAGTGCTGCAAAAGTATATTATTACTTACACCAATCACTTCACATCAGTAGTGTGCTACAGACCTATCCTGCTGTCAGAGCTAATAGGAAATTTAAGACATCTGGTGATGTAGATTCCTCTGATCTAGAAGGACTTTGTGTTATTTACCAGCATGTCTGCTATTTGATTAGCCAAGTGGTGGGTGCTCCGTCTACTTAAGTACACATCTCAGTATGTTATGGCTCACACACAGTAAATGGTCCCACCCCTTTCTTGATGTTTTAGCACTGTTTAACACTAACACTGAACATGAGATGATTTTTAACAGAATGAATGAAATGAATAAGTGGTCAACCTGAAGGGATAAAGTTTAAGTAATTAAAAAGCATGTTTAGAGGCACTGCTCTTGCAAACTGCTGCTACCTTTAGTGTCACAGTGAAAGACCCCCTAGCAGCTCCTTCTTGTAAGCAATTTCACAGCCCACCTAGCTTTTGGCTTGCTTTTCCAAAAACTTAATAGTATTCAGCTATACACACGCTCGTACACACAGGCACATTTATCACACACTTCTTAATTACATCTGCTCATAGCCTGTCCAGAATGCTAAGTAGCTGTTGAGTAGAAAGACTGGTGCCTCAGACATTTCTAGACCTCTAGCTGGTCATTAAAATTCTGTCCTTTGATCCTTTGCTTTAACTCTCCTCCTTAGATGAGACACATAAAAGCCACCAGCTTGACTTTAGCTTTGACTTCAGATAGGTCCACTGAGATTCTATCATTTATGGAGGAAAATAAAATAACTGCATTTGACAACATCTCTGAAGTAGAAGTTAATTAAAACAGATGTTATGTTGAGGTAGCCTAATCAGAATGGAGATTGTCATGTGTAAGTGATTCCTGGGAGAAACAGATTTTTAATAAACTGTTATGACGAATAAAAGCAGAACAAGATAAACACATTGTAAATATTATTTCAAGTGTCTTAACAGAAATGTGATTTTTTTTTAAGGTACTGAACTGTAGATGATAAATCTTGTAGGATGTCACTATAGGTCTAAACAATACTAATGAACTCCATCTGAATTACCATGTGGCCCATGTGCCTTTAAATTTCATCTGTGAGTTGTTCCATCAATCAGCACACCAGTGACTCTGTGCTGCTGTCAGAAGTAGATGTCATTAAAAGAATCACAGCATTCAGACACGAGCGTTCTTCCAAGAATCTCATGACATATGAATGTGTTGGTGTTATGACTCACTCAGTACTCTTTATTTTGGAAAAGTTGTAACGGCTGTCTCACTTACAGTAACAATCGTGTTGGATTTTCAACACATCACTAGTATGAACGTTGGTCAAAGGGCAGAAGCTTCCACTAAAGACTCGAGGCATCAGCAAACTTTTGAGGACCTGCTGCTCTAAAACATAATGAAGTGGAGTTTAATGGGCATGCTGTCTTTTATTTTGAAACTTAATTTATATGTCTGCGCTTTTATTGTGTCTCACTTGCTGCCCTCTTCATCTGCTCTGGGTAGTTTAATATGGCTTTTTTTGGAAACGTGCTGTGGCACGTCTGCTAGAATGGCAGCCTTGGCCTTGGGTATCATCAGCCAGTGTAACAGACAACACATGGGTAAAGCTAGCCTCCAGGCTGTCTCTGCCAGAATGAGACTGTAGATGAAAACAGACTTAGATGCTTTTTATAGTTGTTCTTAATAGTGGATGAATCACATTTTAGTATTTCTTAGGTCTTTGATGACAGATTGCTCTGTGGCAACACTAATATAAACTAATGTTGAACTAAACTAGTTTAGCCTTATAGTAATATAAGGGCGGAGAGCCAAGAATTTGAAAACAGTGCCTTCAGATAAGTTTATTTAAGTATATTTCATATCTCCTTTTATGTTGGCACACCACAACAGCTTGTCCAAGCACAATGAGTCAGCAACATGGGGCGAAAGGTTTCCAATGTTCCTCTTGGTACCTGAATAAAAACAAGAGTGGCACTAAGTGGCCCAGGTCTGAATGAGAGAAAGCCACCTGTACGGCAGATTGATGAAGGTAGCAATTTTCTATATTCTACTTTTCAAAAGGTTTAGGGATGTATATACACAAAGCTAAAAGGTGCATCTGTCTTAGACATATAGCCACAAATGGGAGCTGCATGATGCTACAAGTTGACAGTAATAAGCACATTTTTTCTGTACTGTGAAAGTGCATTGAAGGTATAGTTACCTGGTTGGCTTTGCATTAATAAAATCTCCCTGCTCCAAAAGCTTTGCATCCACACCAACTTCCAACTGCTCAGCACTCTCTGTGCAATCTGGTTGGAGAGATATGACATTTAGTCTCAATCACTGGTAATGGGTGCATTACCACAGTATCACACACACGCATGCACAATAAACTAATGATACACATTTTACTGTTGCCAGGAAACAGACTCTGGGGTTTACACCTGCCTGGCTAGCAGCTCCAGCGGAGAGACGAGTTGGAGTGGAGTGCTCACAGTCAAAGGTAAATTGTCTTTGTGTGATTTAAATACATGCAAATGGAAGCTCTATGAAGTGTCTGCATATAACACAGAGATGCTCCATGTGACGAGAAAGAAAATGTCCATGTATATGAAGTGCTGTTTAAAAATAGTAATGCTGATTGTCACTTGTTAAATGTCTCCTTATTAAATGTGGGCAACTTAAAATTCATCAGCTGTGACTGAGTGTAGGATGTGTGACTTCACTGTAAAAAGCCAGAGTGTAGGTAGTGTTCCTCATGTCTGTGTAATTGCTTAAATGAAACAAATAGCTGGGTCTAATTAAAGCACTTAGCCCCTGCTGTTCCTGAGCCAACTGCAAAATCTAAATGTCAGTAATTGTATGCATGTGAATCCTGGGGTGATGAGAAAGGACAAGAGAGGTAAAGCAAAGGTGAGAATATGCTGAGGACCAAATTTGGGGTGCAAACACCCCATTTATTTAAGTGCTTTGTGTGGCTCTGCCCTTTTTTACTTTCTCTGCAGTGGAGCAGGCATTGGCACATAAAATATTTCAAGCAGTAAAAGATTTGTTTATATGACATTAAATGAAGCCTTTAACGACTTAACAAGCTACTCTGATAACACCTAAGTCTGTTATTTGACTATTAGTGTCAGAACAGTTGACTCGGGTCTAACTGCAAAATCACAAAGTCTGTTAGAAGTGAGGAGCTCCACCTGCGGCGATGGGGATGCTAATGCTCAGTCAACATTAGTGGGACTACAGAGAAGACGTAATGAAACAGTAGCACTAAAGCCAGCTGTTATAATTAAATGTGCACTATTCTCTTCCACCTTTCCTGCTACTCCTCCTTCTTCCTGTTTGCTTCCCTTTCCATTCAGAGAGCGCAGACGTGTCGGTAGCTCAGGCCACTGAACCCTTCCAGCTACCAGGCCCGCCACATAAGCCCATAGTCACGGATGTGTCCAAGAACAGTGTCTCTCTGACCTGGCAACCCAATGCCCATGAGGGAGGAGCCGCTGTCACCTCCTACATCATTGAGGCCTTCAGGTAAGTTGACATTGCTATATTAATCCAGAGCTCTTCATTTCTCTTATACTTTTTGCACTTCTCACCTGCGGTTGCGTGTCTGGATGTAGAGCGGGTTATCTACCAATCTAAAGGTTGGTGGTTTGATACCTGCCTCTGTATAGCGAAGTATACTTGTGCAAGATACTGAATCTCAAGTAGGCCCCAATGCATCAATCAGTGAGTGTGTGAATTTCAGAATAGAGCGTTTTTATCATTGTGTTTGTGTGAATGAAGTTTGAAATTAAAAAATGCTTTGAGTGCTCAGTTACAGTAAAAAAGTGCTATATAAGTACAAGTGCATTTACATTTGTCTTCTTTATTTAACAGTTTTAGGATTTTTTTCTGCAGAAGCCGTGCTCCTTTTGGAACCAAGAAATACTAAATACTAGCCACAGTTTCTTTAATGTGACTCCAACTTAAACTGAGTAATAATCTGGAAATAATAATATTACTAATTTGATGACAAGTTGCTGATAAGTCGCTAAAAAACACCTTGACACCTTAACAACCTAAAATAATATTGTCTTCTTCTTGTGGCTTATCTAAATCTGAGTGGACCTCCACAGAACCCTACAGGTATCTGCACCTGAGCAGAGGTCAGCCTTGGATTAATTAGACCCAGAATAGATTTAGCTAAACAGGGCAGGTGGTTCGGAAGGAAGCCTCTAGATGAAGATAGGCGAATGAAATATGTCCTGCCAATTTGATAAAGATGGGGACACCGGCAGCGCTTAATCAGATCCAGACGTCCACTGTGTCCCATGGCAACACCTGAACATTTCAGAATAAAGTAAACGGATTTTCTCTAAAGCAGCTGGAGGGGACCCCTGGGATGTTTACAATAACATTTCCTTGCCTGAGGTATAAGGCTTGTTTGTAGGAGCACTAGTATGTCTGCTTATGCCCTATGTGGTATGTAATAGGGTTTATTTAATGCACAAAGGCACACTTTCCATTTTCCTGCTGATGCTGTATCGATTTTGTCTTCTGTACACCTGTGTGAACTCTCTTCCACCATAGAGTTGCCTTGAACCCAATACTCAGGGTGTTGTGCTCACACACGCACACACAAACACAAACACACGCCCACACACACATCCAGACACACACACACGTGTGTGTATTCATATCCTTGTGGGGACATCTCATTGACATAATGCTTTCCCTAGCTGCTTACCCTAATCCTAACCATAAAAAATGAATTCCTAACCCTAAACCTAACCATAACCAAACTGTAACCCTGAGACTAAAACCACATTTTGAGTCTCAAAAATGCCTTCAAACTTGTGAGGACTGGGGTTTTGGTCTCTGTAAGGGCTGTTGGTCCCCACAAGTATAGTAAACTTCCAATGTTTGGTCCCCACAAAGATATGAATACACACACACACAGTATTCAGCATAAAGGTAGTTCATGGTGGAGGAGGCCTTTGTGACTGCCTCTCTGCCAAGGTGATGGTAAATTCACAGAGGAACAGAGAAAGGCAGCAGGGGGGAGGGATTGTGGTTGGCGGTGGTGGAATAATGCATCTGTCTGGGGCAGTGCCACAAGGCCAACAACATGCCCTCATTTTATGTCAGCAGCTGTGCCTTCTTGCAAGCCCAATTACATTATTCATCAGGACAACAAATAGTATCACTGGGAGAAGATCTTTCAAGCACAAAGTTGTGTGAGCTGCAAAACTTCAGCTTACATCTGTTATTGTTTCATAAATAATATCAGCACCTCGAGGCGACTGTTGTTGTGAGTTGGCGCTATATAAATAAAACTGAATTGAATATTAGAGGAAACCAAAAATAGATCATGCTCTTGCCCAGAGAGCTTCCCATGCATTGGTTAATTATGAGGTTGCACATCAAGTCGGTATTACAAAGCAGCTTGAAGCTGCTTGTCACTCTGCCTTCTTGTTGATAAGACCTACATATTTGCTGTTTTGGTTTCAAACATATTATGAGGAGATTTACAAAATGACTAAGTAATATGAATTACTCACAGTAACATTAAAAAGCATGTTATAGAAGATATAGAAATTGTTCATATAGTGAAAATAATATGAAGGTGAAGCTACTGTTAGCCACTGTCTAAGATGGTGGAAAATGCTATGCAATACAATAATTCAATCGAATATTAGTCATCAGTTTACAGCAGTTGTTTATTTTACCTGTTGTTGTAGTTCAGTTCATATTGTAGGAGAAATATGGGAATAATGTGTTTTTCCTGGATTTTAGTTGATATTTTTTCAATTAATGAAAAAAAAACTGCTGTAAAAGTTATAGACTGATCATTTCTTTGTAAGTGAGCAAGTGGAACAGGTGGGTAAAAAAAATACCTTTTTAATTGATGATTGATTTTATTAACGATTTACTTTTGTTTTCTTAATCTTTTGGTTAGACTCTGGTGGTCTTTATTCCCTGGATATTTGTCAACAAAGCAGAAAATAATCAGCAGATGAATTAGGTTGCAGAATAATCTTTAGTTGCAGCCTCTTCAAAAAAATGATTGCATGAATAACTGGACGGGCACTGAGAGAGTGTATCATCTGCCAAAGTCACTGACGTATTTCACAAGTTCACAAGAATCTTCACATCAGCGTCATGAGATTCTTCATTTTCTCTGCTCCACTTTTCAGGTGGAGCTTTCATTCAGTTCAGTTTGGAAGTTTTGGGGTAATCATGCTGAGAGACAAAGAGCAGTAGGCACATGCAAGCTAATTATACTATAGGAGGCCTTCAGTTGTCAGGCCCCTCTTCTGTTTGGATTCAGGAGACAGAAACTATCTCTACTTTTAAGATTAAGCTTCAAACTTTCCTTTTTGTTAAAGCATATAGTTAGGGCTGGACCAGGTGACCCTGAATCCTTCCTTAGTTATGCTGCAATAGGTGTAGGCTGC